TAATTAAAAGCCTTATCCCTTAGTGAGAAGGGAAAAAGCCTTAGCCTATAAGCATCTTACGAAAACCCTGAGGCTTCAAGGGTTCATCTGCGGTCACACTTCCATTTTGCGGACCATATGATCATTTGCGGTCACAGATTTAATTCTGCGGACCGCACTTCTGCTTTGCATTTCTCCTTTTAGCCTTGTTGAGCTGGAATACTCTGTTTTGAGTTAGATTTCTTTGTTGAGCTCCAATCCTCCAACATGCCTGCAATTCACACAATTTTATTAGATTTGGAAACAAAAATCACTATTTTCGGACTGAAACTAAAGCAAGAAAGTACTAATAAGTGGTTAAAATTCACACTTCTGAGTCACATGCTCAATAACACAATCTACTCGGCGTGGTCAAGGCTACCAGTCTAGATAATATCACACAAAAAGCATATATACAAGAATACATGTACATGATCAATGCATATCAAGTTTCATACTCCTGGATTGGTATAAATGACATGCTAAAGTGTACACATGTGCAAAGTGTGCTATCATAGCTCGAATAGGCAATTCCATCACGGAAATAGAAATTATCAAGTTCAATCATGAGATTAACCTCTATGTTACCTCAAATATAGATCAAATAACTCACAATAGGGTTACAATATGAGAAACAACACATCATAAAGCTTAGAAATCAATTCAAGGCATATCATAGCCTAAGTACTACCCCGAGCATGGATAAATTCCCTGTGCACGCATATGGGCTCAACCCCCTACATATGTGCCATCCATAGCACGTAGCTATCATAAATAACTCAGGCAACTAGTGCAAAACCAAGTGTAGGTAAGATACCTACCTCAAGCAAGCCAAATCACTCCTCTAACAAGCCCTTCCCGCATAAATCAACCTCCGGACGGCTCGAATCTAGCCAAAATAACTTAATATGATCAATAAAAGTCATAGGAACCGATTCCAATTGATAAAGCTAAGATCCTTAAACAAAATCAAAAAGTCAACCCCGAGCTTGCACCTCGGAACCTGACCAAACTCACAAATTCCAAACACCCATTCCGATACGAGTCCAAGTATATGTATTTCATCCAATTCCAACCACAAATCGACCCTCAAATCGTCAAATCTCACTCTCCAATAACATGTACAAAATCCCCCAAATCCCACCTTAAATTCTCTTAAATTAGGTGTAATAATCAATGGGTAATCAATATCTAACTCCAAAAGTCAAAAGTGAGAAAAGATCACTAACCTCTTAAATTGTGATGAAAATCTCCAAAAATCTCTCTAGACCTCCACAACTCAAAATATGTTAAAATGACTAAAACCCTCGAAAAATAGAGTACTTATGGTCTGCCCAGGCATCCCCTTCGCGATTGTGAAGCACAATCAACACTGCACCAGAAAATGGCCTATGCGAACGCGACATCATGATCGCGAATGCGATGCACTCCAACTATAAGCCTTCGCAAACACGGCCACACCCTCGCGATTGCGTATGCTAAAAGCCTGGCGCCCAGCTGGACTCCCATTCTACGCGAACGCGAAACACACATGCGATCGCGATGACTTTTGCCTTTCAAAGCTTTGCGAACACGAGCTCCCTTTCGCGAAAGCGATGAACAATCACCCTGCCAACAACATACCTTCCACAATCGCGATAGCCTTTTCATGATCGTGAAGAAGGAAACAAGAAACACAGAATCAACAATCCCAAACATGATGAAAGTGGTCCGAAACACAGCCGAGGCCCTCATGACACCGTCCAATCATACCAACCAATCCAAAAATATAACACCAACCTACTAGAGGACTCAATTCACACAAAATAACATCAAAAATATGAATCACACCCCAATTCAAGCCTAGGGAAACTAATGAACTTTCCAAATTCAAAACTTACGCCGAACAAGCCTAAACAATTCAGAATGACCTCAATTTTTGCATACAAGTCTCAAATGACACAACAGACTTATTCCAACTCCCGAAACTAAAATTCGAACCTGATATCAACAAAGTCAACTCCCGATCAAACCTATCAACCTTTCAAGCCTTCAACTTTCCAACTTTCTCCAAAAGCACCAAATCAACTTGTGGAACTCCAAATCCAAATCTGGACATACGCCCAAGTACAAAATTATCATACGAAGCTATTGGAATCATCCAAACTATATTCCGGATTCGTCTACATAAAAGTCAAACTCTGATCAACTCTTTCAACTTAAACTTCCAACCTTGGGACTAAGTGTCCCAATTCACTCCGAAACTTTTTCGAAACCAAACCAACCACCCCCGCAAGTCACGAGACCTTAAATACACATAAGTAAAGCTTCAAACATGGGAAATAAGGAAAAAATACTCAAAACGACCAGCCAGATCATTACAAAAAATTAATATTATGTTGAACATCTCTATTAAGTGAAACGTTAAGCTCACATATAGGATGCTCCAACGGATCATCATCAAACTTTGGAGGTAAATCTTCAACTTGTAGATCCAATGCATGATCCTACTCCTTGTGCTCTTCTATAGTAATACCAATGTTTAAAGACTTTTCTCCATTGATTGGACCAATTATTTGTAATTTTCTCAAGAAAGAATCATCATTGGGCTTCAGATTTTTAGCAATTTCTTCTGGATTCAATGGTACTAAAATAATCTTACGTCCATCCTTTGTAAAAGAATAGATATTAAGGTATCTATCATGTTTAGTACACCTATCATATACCCATGGTCTTCTAAGTAATAAGTGACAAGCATCCATCTTCACTACATCACACCAAATCTGATCTATACAGATCTTACCAATAGAAAAAGATACTAGGCATTGGCGAGTTACCTCTAAACCATCATCATCTTGAACTTCGATGCTGCAAGGATATGGATGAAGTTTGGTTGACAAGCCGAGTTTAGTAACCATCTCTTCAGAGACGATATTCATATAACTCCCAAGATCAATGATCAACGAAAAAACTTTTCTATGTGAGGTACATCTAGTGTGGAAAAGAGATTCATATTGTCTCGTTTCTTCATCATCTTGAACAAAGAATCTTCTTCTTGGTTGAATCTTAGTCATGATATATTCATCAACCTAGGACCTGTAGATTTAGCTTTGATACCAAATTGATGTGATTTTTCAAGTTAACAAAGAGCCAACCGACCAGGATCAAGATCTTGAAACGAAAACGTAGTTTATGGGACGATTTCAAAAAATAGTGTATCTCAAGTTTTAGACTCGGAATATGATGATTCAAAAATAAGGTGAAAGATGACGATCTGAACTATAAGAAAGACTAGTTATTCATTCAAAACAAGTAAATATTGGTATTGCATCGGTTCAATAAAAGTTCTGATTCTATGATATCAAAAGAACAGATTTAGATCAATAAACGTATTCTTGAATGATCAAGAGCTAAAAAGTTACCCAAGTCACCACTTGGAATCAATTAACGTGGTAAAAAAAAATTCACACGCAATTGAAAATAAGATAAAGACTATCACCACCTTACTTGGAACCACAAATAAGGATAAAGAAGACAATAGAGAAAAACCTCCAGAAATGTGAATTCTATTCCATAAGGCATGAGAACTCTTTATATAGGCCTAGAGTCTCTTCTTTGATGACTACAATTCTTATTCTAATAAGGAAATAAAATAGCTAAAGACAAGAAAAGTAAAATCTATATTTTACAAGAAAAAGAAACTAAAATCCTACTAAAAGGAAAATCCTTATTCTAAAAGAAAGACAATAAAGAAAGTCTAAATATACCAATAAAAGGAAACAATAAATCCTTTTTTGTAAAGAACAATAAATCCTATTTTAAGAAGGAAAGAATCTTGGCTTCTTGAGATCAATCTTGAAATTCTTGGACTTCTTGCACTTCTTAAAAATAAGTCCATGTGTTTGGACTTGCGCTCTCAAATATGATCTTGGCCAAAATTAATAAAATTTAACATATATTCTTCCTTTTTATCATGCGTTATCTATTATTAGACATTCAAGGAAGAGTGTTATAAATTACAAGTTAATGTAGATGTCCATTAGTCCCATTAGTCGTCTTTATGATGTAAATAACCCTCCACTATTCCTCATTATTATAGTTGCAACTTCCATTCCTCCATAACCCTTCCCATGATCTTCCCCCATGGTCTCAACAGTTAATGCTATATTTTAAGATAACTTTTTTGTAAGCCTCCATGTAATAGTATAAATAGAGGCATGAGATATGATATGCGATACACTTGGAAACACTTAAAGAAATAACAAAGTTCTATCCTCTCTACAATTCTCGTCTTGATCTTTCAATTTTAATAGTAGTTTTTTAATATAATATTATTTTTCAAAAGTTTTATCCACTGTTAACCATAAAAGAAAATAAAAGAAAAAGAAATTAATAAAAGTGGAAAGAATTTTTAAAAGGTAGTGAGGTCAAATTTTCATCTTCAAGGACAGAAACAAATTGAAAGTTTCCGGTGTTAGTTTTCAAGATCTTTTTTCAGATGAATAAATAAGCTTTAATGGGTGACAAGTATACACACAGTACACATAATAAATATAGTAAATACTAATATTACTAGGTATTTTCCAATTCATTTTCTTGAAAAAATATACTTACTCCCTCCCAATTTATGTGAACCTATTTAATTGGGTACGAAATTTAAAAAAAAATAAAAACTTTTAAAATTTATGGTTTTAAACCAGACAAAAATGAGCCCAAGTATTTGTGTGGTTATAAAAATTCATTAAGGGTAGAATTTAAAATTTAAACTAAATTATTTTTAAATTTAGAAATGAGCTATTTCTTTTGTCCAAAATATGCTCACGTCAACTGGAACGGAGATAATACCTATTAAGTTAAATTAAATAGTTATATTTTTGAGCAACAAATATCGTAAAGAAGCACCAACACGACCAGTCTGTTTACAATTGCCAAAAAACAATAAAAATAATAATAAAAAATAATACCGTTCTAATAAAACCTTTCCCTTGCCTTATTAGCTTAACAGGGAAGCATTTATAGTTTGCCGAGGCGTATACCGCCTTTAAATTCTTCTTCCTCTGTTTCAAACGGAGGAGGAAGAGGAAAGACAAAGGGTCGTCTTGGAACTCGATCCACCATAGATGGGGTTCCTCGCATACACTGCGCTACTTCTTCCCTTACTCTCTTTGTTTCTTTCAACTCCTCCCGTTGCTGCTCTCCAAGGTTACTCAATTTCCACCTGTTATTATTACTTTCTCCTTTATACATATTCTTTTGTAGCGTGTATTTTGATTTGGGCGTCCCATTTTGCTCCTCGTATTCTCATTAATGGAGGATCAATTTGACAAATTCATATACACATCGACTACTAACATTAGTCTTTAACCTTTAAGGTTTCATTGGTGAGAAGCAAAACTACACGTAATCTCTGCTTAAAATGTAAGAACCTTCTGTCTTTTAGCAAGTTTTTAGGGCATTATGAAAAGAATAACCCTTACTCGTTTTATATCAATTTGACCTGAGTATGTCAAGAAGATTTCATGTGATATAGTTGGAAACTTATTTCCCAATTTGTATTCTTTTGTATCTTTCACTTTTTCTTTTTTGGAGTTTGAATCGTGTACAAGTATCTCTTAAGAATAGACATTTGGTTTTGGACATTCACGTGATTACCAGAAGACTGTTGCCGCATTTCATAAAAATATGTAATGACTGTAGAAGTTACTATAAATGGTATATTTTTAATGGCGGATGGTGCTTAATTTCGACCAAGGAATTATGCTAAAAATCACACCAAAAAAAAATAAATACCCTATGTCCATGAGTGAATTTTAGATTGAAGGCCTGAGTAATCAGTACTCTAGATATAGACTCTTGTCGAAGTGTCACATTATTCATGATGTTAGTGAATAAGATAAGTCATATGTCCAATCCATATTGCTGAGTTGTCAAAGCCAATGATCCCAAGTGCATGTCAATGCGCCTTTGGTGAACTTCATTTGCTATAGCACCTAAAAGGAGGAGCATGGACCTTATTGAAAGGTTGACAGCCTTGAGAAGATATTAGCACCATTTTCTTAAAAATATTTGTTTCCTTTTAAATTGAAGATACACGTAACGAGTATTAAAGATTTTGCACATAAAATTGGTCATTCCTCGATAACACTGTTAATTATATACTTATGGCTGCAGGATTTAGTAAGGTTTTCTTACTTATTAAAAAATTTGGATGGATTTCTACTTCTGTGAGATTGATTTTCTTAGTAATGACACAACCAGAAGAGGAGTAGAGGAGACAAGGTTAGGCTTTTGGGTAGTGCAGTGCATTTGTTTCAAATTACATAGTTGACGAGGGCAGAGGCGGATCTAGGATTTCTAGTACATGGGTGCACTACAAAAAAAAAGGAGAAAAAAATGTATCAAGTGGGAATTGATTCCTATACCTCTTGCTAAATAATTCAACCTTCAACCAAGTGCACCATTCAACCTTTTTGAAACACGGGTGTCAACAGTTAATATTATACCAATTTTAGAAAATATGTTAGTAAAATATTTAGTTTTACGAAGAGACCATGGGTTCACGTGCCCCATAACTATACCTACAAATCCGGCCCTGGACGAGGGGTGCTAACCCGGCCACCCAACCTAGTAGGTCAAGGGTAGGCCACTAAGTAAATACCTACAGATCATGCTAGGATCAAGTGCGCTTTCAAAATAATTCCTTTTGCTTCTGAAAGTTGAAATAATACTCCGCAGTCCGCAAGAAATTTATTTTGTGAGAAGTTGCCTGCATACCCCATGAAAGTTCTAAACTTTAGCCTATTTCTGAAAATAAGGAGTGAGATATTGGGTTGAAAGGCTTTTAGGATGGATGCATGTAAAATGCACGGTTGTGTTCAACTTTAGCTTGTCTTTATGCATTAGGATTATGAAGGATCAACACCAAGTACTCGTGCCCATTTGACACAGCTATGCCAGGACAAATAAAGATTCCATGGAATATATATTGGAGCATAATTCCGTAAAAGATGGAGGAGAATCCTGGACTATTTGGTGAGCTTAGTGAATGAGCAAAGATATTTTAAAGAATCAACTATCAATATAAATTGAGAAAAAGGGAAGATAGAAGTCAAGTAATTAATCATGGATCCTTGGGCCATCGTACCATTTAAATATGGTGAATTATCATGAACTACTCAACCTTTTCGATTCCAATAATCTGAAAAGCATTATGGTGACATCTATAAAGTATATGATTTGTCCTGCTCTGTAAAAGGTTAGATAAGCCAACTAAAAATATTATAGAGATACCCATGAATGCATCTTTATCTGGGACAATAAAACACTAGAAGGTAGTTTTCCAAGGTTTAAAAATACTCGATGTTCTGACCACAATAAAAGGCTGCAAACTTGATAAATTTTAATTAAATAGCTTCTTCTTGGGACTAATATCCTTGATAGCGCAAATGAATCAGATGCCGACTCACAAAAGTGGAGAGATTACTATTTTGATGTTAGCACTCTATCTTTTATTTCTCAACTTAGCATTTTGATATGACAGGTATCAATTTGGAAAATCAGATACTGGATGTGACTCCAATTAATTCCATGAGAGACCCTTTGTCAAAAGACAATGTATTATGTGAACGCATACTAATCGGTGGTCTATCAAGATGGAAGGTTAGCAGTTATTCTAGTGCATTTCGAGTCAGCTTGGTCCCGTCAGCAGTAATCCCAGATAGAGTGCTTGGAAAGATACAAATTTGCTTTCACAAGTAAGTTGAGAGAAGACCTCTATTCTCATACATCATTTAGTCTTTTCCTTTTGGAGATTTTGACTCAGCAGGGTATCGTGCAGGAATTCCTCTATTGGCTTGTGCCAGTGTGAACAAGATGCATGGAAGAATTTACAGAAAGGTCCATGGAGCTCTGTCATGTCCCCTTACGAGGATAGAGTTCTTGACGTGAAGTTTGTTGGTCTTTCTGATTCTGTTACTGTTACTCTTGAAGAAGGTTAGACATATGCATAGTTATGCTTGGGACTTTATGGGATCTGTTTTTTGCATGTTTCTTGGCTACTGTTTAGTTACCTCCTTTCTGAACAATATGCAGATTTACAAAGATGGCGTCTGCTCTTTCTTGCTTTTGGTATGGTGCTACTGCTCATGGCACCTATTGTGAGCAGTTGGGTTCCTTTTTACTACAGCAGTTCGATGGCTATTGGAGTTTGTCTTGTCATCATTGTCCTTCTGTTCCAGGTATGTTCATCTTTAGCCGGCGTAATGGTTTCTCTGCTGTCATCACTTTTATTTTGTATCAAAATAGTTTAGGTATTTTTCCAATTTATATTACATGTGTGCGCTGATGCTTGTGGGTATCACCATCTTACTTGCTTCAATTTTTCACTTTCGCCTGTTCCTGTAGGTTTTAGAGCTTGGGTGTCTTCTGTGTATGTGTTGTCCCATATGGCCCTTTAGCTCCATCTTTTAGCTGCCCGATCAACACCAGTGTCATTGCCCAAGACCAAAGACTTTACTGGACCTAGAACTCATGCCACATCACTATAAGTATCATCCTTATTGGTCTAAGTAGCTAACAGAATCCAATTTTATAAAAAGATGTGTTTAATTTTATGGGTTCAACCAATCTGGTACTATCTCCCATCATTCTTTCCTTTACATTCTTTTGTAGAGATAAATACTTATATTGCAGTTGAAGCATCGGATAACCTTTACGGATAGAAGATTGAAACTGATGTAGTAGAAAGCTGCAAATCGCTCCAAGAACTTTAGGATTATTAAATCTAGTGGTTCTCAAAATGACAAGGACACTCTGCAGAGGGATCTATTGGAAAAGGTTGATGTGTAATGAAAATTCACTGGCTTTTATAGGCTTAGGCATATGTATAACAGTTTTGCATAACTGACTGAATACTTTCCTCTATGGAAAAAAGAATGTTACTGAAGAAAAGATATCACAGAAAGATCAACCTTAGAACTCTGCCAATGAAGAGACCTTAAGTGTGCCGAACTTAACAGATATTGCAGAAAGATCAACCTTAGAACTCTGCCAAGGAAGAGACCTTAAATGTGCCAAACATGCGGTCCCTATGTTGCGTGGACTCTCCAAAAATGATGCCGCACCCGTGTCGGATCCTCCAAAAACACACTAGTTTGGGAGGATCCGACACACACCCGATGATATTTTCGGAGAGTCCGAGCAACATAGCATGCGGCATTGGCCGCTTTGGTAAGTTCAAAAACTTCAATCAATCATAAATACACTGAAAACTAACTGTTATTTTTTTTTGTTTTGCTGACAGTTCATGTCCATCATTTTCTGTTCAGATCCTTCAGGACATATGCTTTTGTAGGCTTAGGCCTACAAGTTTTTCCTAACTTTGTGATTTAAAAGAATTGTCCTTTTACTGTCTCGTTAAAGATATTAATGAGCTCTTTGGTGTTGATATATTTTTATTCCCTTTTTTATATACTATGGAGGATGTCAGGTGTCATCTAATTTGCTTGTAACCCGGTCCAATTGTGACCATTTTGGTCCATTGACCTGCAAATGACAGCCATATTAGATGACAACTGACTTCTTTTCATTGTTTGAATAATGCAGCCCCATGAGATTAATAATAAATTAGAAAACAAAAAGGACTCAAGAGGATACAAACATAGGCATAATCTGTAATTAGGAAATAACACAAGAAGTAATCCAAAATGAACAAAAAACAAAGGAGATGATGCCATTTATCTAGGATTAGTCGACGGTATGTAAAATGAGGGGGAAAAGGAGCTGTTTAAGAAGAGACATCTACAAAGAGCTAGAAGATCTTGAAAGGACTAAAGAGCTGTATGTTTGTATCACCTAGATCTGTCATATTTACATTGAAAAGAAAATTATTTAGCTTGTACAAGTTTCTTCGCCAAAAGATAAACAATTTTTCTCATTGAGCTTCTTTTAGAGTCCTCTAATAACATGCCATTTGTTACATTTGCTTCATTGTACAGGGGATGAAATTGCTTCCAACTGGAAGGAAAAATATATTCTACTTGACTATCTATGGTTCAGTGGTTAGATATTTTGTCCAAACAATTCAGATTTCGGCTTTTATAAATTTGCTAGCTCTGATGATCTTAATGACATTCAACCTTAATCATGTTTCAGCTCGGAGCAGGATCTTTTTTGGTGCATCAATTCTCAATGCTGATAAATTCCATTGTCTCAAGCTTTGGGCTTGGTGAAGAGTTTCACAATCCTGTATGTTCTTTCTTTGTAATAAATAAGGTGTTCTTTTAATAGTTGATCAATGGATTAATCCTCGTCTGTCTTTTTTCCTTATCTCATTTTGTTACTGTGTGGCTTGTCATTATTGTGGCCAAACATTTTTTCTTTGCTTTAATGTTTTTCTGACCCTCAACCTTAAAAGTCCACGGGCAATTTACGCTTTACCTACTATTATGTCTCAGTGCAGTGCAGTTCATTTGAGTTTGAACACCTAGAGGTTTTTGCTTTGTGTTAGTTAATTCAACTTCCTAATAGTATGCCTGATCTAGAACTTGAGTTAATTCTTATGTAGACATATCATAGGAAGACAGCTAGGAACAACAGTCTTCTAAGGGCATATTGCTTTGGCCCTCCCTCCATTCATGATTTAATAAAAGATCATATGAGCTACTAGATCTACTCAGCTTTCTTAGGTTTTTTCTGTCAGTATTTGTGATACAATTCACGTTTCAGAAGTCAAGCTAATTGAAACTTAGGTTACAAATGTTTTTGTTGGTAATTCTAATTTTGAAGCTAAAACTGTCATGAGCAAATAGGACCTTAAAAAGTTTTTATTTTTTAATTTGGATAGTAATAATGTTATTGTCTGATTTCAGGCCGAAACTGGTCAAACTATTATTCAAGTTAGGCTTTGTGACCCAAAAAAAATAAATTTTTTTTGGATGTGTATATATTATACCCTGAATGTGTTTCATCTTGATTTCAGGTGGCTGTATTTGTTCTTGTTGGAATAATCCTTGCTGGAGCTGGTCTAGGATATTGGTTGGTGCGGAAATTTGTTATATCAGAGGATGGGAGTGTGGATGTTGGTGTTGCTCAATTTGTCACATGGGCCATACGCATCGTTGGCATTACCTTTGTCTTCCAGGTTTTGAGAGCTTCTCTTTTGTGTTCAGTTACATCTACATTGATATGACGGCATTGTACATACAAATATATGTTCATCCTATGCTCAGTTGCTGGGTTATAGCAGAAATCATAATGATCTTAAGTGTTTAGCTGATTAAGAGTAAAATTGAGAAACTGAGTGAGAGCAAGAATATAATCATGCTATGATGGTTATGTAAGGTCTTTTTGGGACTTTACTGACCTTTAGCGAGAATCCTGCAATATTGCTAGGATAAAAAGTTCTTAAATTTTATACGCACTTCATTTAAGTGCTTTTGCACTGTTATTTCACGCAGCACATTTAGCGTTTAAATTACAAGTTAACATCAAGCAGTGCTCATGCAAAACTGTATTTTAAATGGTGCAATGTAAGGACACACCATTATTTCTGCAGCACTTTTGGTGTTTAGATTACAAGTTAAGCTCAAACACTTTGCTCAGGGAAACTCTATTTTGAATGGTGTCCAGTTTTTTAGGTCCAAAAGACTTCAGTAAGCTCTAAGTATGCCTTGGTTTAGATCCAAAATCACTCTGGAAAGCTCTACATTTGTGCCTTTTCCAAAAGTACCTTCTTGCCAGGTATTTTACAAATTACCGGTGCTTTATGCACGAACGTCTTCCTACATTGTTCCCTAAACTTTCAGGTTATCAACAACTTTTGACATCTCTGCCTGGACATAAGATACCTTAAGAATTTTTACTGAACGTTTGAAGCAATACTCCATGCTAATAGTTCTTATTTGTCAAAAGAGTGCACCCCCAAATGGGTCCATGGTCCCTATGAGCAGTGGTGAAGCTAGGAATTTCCCCAAGGGTGTTCAAATTTGAAAGAAGTGAAAAAACTTCCAGACAAAGGGTGTTCAATATGTGTTATATACCTCTAAAACGTAATATTTTACCTATACACACAGTGTAAATTTTCGGCGAAGGATGGTCAATTGACCACTCTTATGACCATGTGGCCTCGTCCCTGCCTATGAGTTATTCTTTGGCTTAGGTTGAGCGTTAATCTTAAATGGCCACCTTTGAGCCATTTTACAAACCTCATTCATGCTTGGAATATGAGTTTGGGATAGGAGAACGAATGAACTATAGTTGACTGGATGTCTTGCAAAAGGGCATACATATGAGACGAATGGAAATTTTGAGAGAAGAAGTCATTGTCTTCTCGCACCCAAGGGTGTGGTCTATTGGTCAATGAAGTGGGTGCAAATCTTGGAAACCACCAGGCTTCAAATCCTAGCAGAGACAAATAACACTAGGTGATTTTGTCGCAGCTGCCTAATCCTTGGTGGGCGGAGTTACCTGGTACCTATGCTGCCGTGTTGGTGGAGCTAGTAGGCATTCGGTGTAATATTCGAGGTTTGCGGAAGTTGACCCGGACACCACCATTATCCAAGAAAAGTCATGCTTGAAGAGCAAGAAACATTAGGATGATGGCAATATTAAGGCATTGAACATAACATTTTTGTCACCTAGTTGCATATTACGATATCCTTGTCTTCTCTTCTTAACATTTTTGTCACCTAGTTGCATATTACTTTATCCGTGTCTTCTCTTCCTTTATTTCTTATGAAATTTTTTTATTTCTGCATATTTTATATATGTAGGTTTTTTCTAATATTCCACCATTGGGAACCTACAATTGGTCACCTACTGAAAACATTGTCGTTCAATGATACACATCAATTATAGTAGCACTTAGCATTAATGGCAGATAAACCTTAATAAGTCACATAGTAATGATGGTAGTTTTAGTTGGTCGGAGTGGCACTGGCCTATCAACTCAATTAACCATGATTTCCGTGGGGGGCGGGGGGGAGCCACTGCCCTGTTTTATCTTTACTTTATGATATTCTTACTCAAAAAGATCAACATACTCCTTTGCATTCTTAGGTAAACCGTGTGGGTTATGTATACCTCTCGGATAGTTTTGACATATCTATTATAAACCCAAGCTTGACAATATTGGTGACAGGTACTAAGAAAGACATTCAAACTATTATATTTTTAGAGTTTACTCATGGAATAGCTTGAGAATAACAAAAATAAAAACTAGAATAACTTTTTTAGGTGAACCTTAGGATGATTTTGCCACACTATCATGGTACTTGTCCAATGAAGTGATTGCTTTCAACTCGTTAATTACTCTTGGATTTGAAGAGCATGTCATACATCTGAAATCACTCTCAAAAGCCAGAATTGCTTAGATGTTTACACTTGAACGCGGAGAAGGTTTCCAGCAGCCATTTAGAAATGTACTCCTAGAAGACAATTCTACTGAATTGTGGAATAGCTTTTCTATTTTGAAAAATTGAGATCATGAATGAGCTTTTCACTTTGGTTTTGACTTCGTTTTAACAGATGTAGTATAGTTTTTTATGCATCCTTGTAGAGCTCAATAGTTTTTCGACAAGTAATTTAAACTTGGAATGGAATTTAAGAATTTAAAGGAGACTTGTGACATGTAAGTCAAATATATGCAAAGTACTTATTCTTTTAAATGAGCGGTGGTGGTGAGAGTTCCACATGTCTTTTCATTTTCTCTTTCTTTACAGAAGAGTGAACGTTTATATCAAGTAGTCCAAAAATGTCATGTCGCTAAGGGTAAAACGGGATACTAAGATTAAGTACTTTCCAAATAGAGAAAGGTGTCATTCGTTTCGGGACAGGCTAAAAAGAAAAGTATGTCACATAAAATGGGACAGAAGGAGCAATACGTTTTTACAGTATGCCTCCTCTTGCCTTACTCTGACCTCATCATCTCAATGAGTTACTAACATACACAAAACCATAAAGCCTTACAATAGTTTTTTGTTTTTTTGAAGGTAACATACTGTATATTAATATATAATGACACAAAAACTGTGGAGTCACCCATAGTTATAGTAGCTTTAACAACTAAGTAATTCTCTCGAATTTATTAGTTCCTCTTGGATATTATCTCCTTCCCTTGATTTTAACTTATATTGAGCCAAAGTTACTTTCGTATCGTGCACAAAACTAAAGGAATCAGGGAAGGATCTTTTTTTTTTTTTTTTT